TGATCGGGCAATTAAATTCGCTGGCAATTTTAATCGCCGCGATCGGGCGATAAAAATCGCTCGTGTGCCCCTAGCATTAGCATCTTACTTTCACTACTTTGTGTTATTAAAGGTACTGATGCCCTAAGTAAATCACAATCAGTATTTGATTGTACAAGTTCTCACCTTGGCTCTTGGCATCTGTATTCAACTTACGCTCGAAGAGGTGACCACTCACATCATTCAAAAGAAGATGACTATAATGAAGAAGATGAGCATTCTGCTATTGCGTTGGATCAACAAAATGTCCAACATCGTCATGATGCAGTAAATTCAGATGCCACCGAGGATGGGTAATAATATCAGTGTGTGTGTGCATGTGGGCGTGCGTGCGTGTGTGCATGTGTGTGTGTGTGCGTGCATCTGTGCGTGCGTGTGTGTGCGGAAATTACTGTGCCTAAGTGTGTTTATCATTTTGTAGTCACATTGCAGTTACTTTTAGTAGTGTGTTGTAGTGTGTAAAGTTATATTTATGTACATTGATGTCGTTTCATTACAGGTCGGAATTTTCAAAGTTTCCTCTTGATCCAACACTGCTAAGACGTTTAAACGAGCTGGGATACAAGAAACCATTTGCAATTCAGACGGAGACCTTAGAACACACACTCGTAGGACGGTACATTTATAATTGGGTTATGTCGCAAAGGTTATTGTACATGTAAATGCTACATTTCAGAAACACTGAGGTAACTTTAATCACAATGTCCACTATATGGTAAATAGCATTAGTTATGGTTATATCATGTGTGCTTCAGTTTTGCTTGCTTTTTTGTTTTACAGAGATGTTATTGGTCGGGCCATCACTGGAAGTGGGAAGACTTTGGCATTCGCTATTCCTATTGTACAAAAGATACTACAATCGTACGTTTCAACATGGCAGTTTATTATTAGCAGCATCCCATAGAAATATTTCCAGCTAGTAGTTGGTGCAAATTTTGTGAATAACAATGAACTTGTGTACGAGGACAGGGCCTTAGCTAGCAGGTGAAAGGTTAGCAGGCAGCCCCCCCCCCTCCCCGTGAAATAATCTCTAAACACTTGTACTTCCATATGAGCAATCAGATCCTGACGATTTGTGATGAGTATATGTGTGACTGATTCCTTACCCCATTGCATACCAATACTTACCTAGTAAGAATAGCAGGATGTCAAAATGAGTCAATTATTCCAATCCAATAGCCTTAAGCTAGTGTATAATATATATGTCAGCAGGTGTTTTTTGTTACAACAATGTACATTTTGACATATGTTAACACACAGTATGTACAGGCCCCAGTGATGCTACCCCAGCCATCTAACTGTCGTAGAGTTATACAGAGTGAATCTTGAAAGTTCATAGTCAGATTTCTTTTGAAACATTAATAAGATCATTGTTCATGGTTAAATCTTTAAATTGTTTACCTTGACAGTTTCAGCTGTCGTTCTGACAGCCATCTTCAGAATTTCTGAATTAGTCACTAAGAATAACCAAGCACTAGTGACTAATTCAGAAATTCTGAAGATGGCTGTCAGAATGACAGCTGAAACTGTCAAGGTAAACAATTTAAGGATTTAACCATGAACAATGATGCTATTAATAATTATACAGAGTGAACTTCAGCATATAGCATCTTGTTGAACCGTACCTAAATCCGCACCGCATTCTCACATTACGCTGACGTTTGTTAATTGGCTTGATGAATCGCACGACCGGGAACACGGCACCACATGTCTAGGCCCAGTTTACACCAGCCGGCCATGCTGAGCACCTTTGATGAATCTAACCCCTGATGTTCAGTTAACACATGTGCATATAATTATATTGAGAAACACACAAAACAATACACCACTTACTTGTTGTGTATGCATGTGTGGGTAGGTAATATTTGTTGTGTTGTTCCTACAGTCCACGGTTGAAGCGATCCAGAAGTCCTCGTGCGATCGTCATATCTCCCACACGAGAGCTTTGCAACCAGATCTACAGGTAAGCTTCAGTAAAGTGCATGCAGACTATTATATTAGTGCCAATCATTAATATAAATAGTATTAAATATTTGAGTAAATAAGTGTTAAATAAAATATTTATAATGATTTAATTTTTGCTTGTTTTATTGCTAGAACAATGTTTTGTATGGAGGTATTACCAATATGTCGTTGCTGAATATAAACATCCATGAGACGTCACATATTCTATTAATGTTAACCGCAGAGTATTACATTGACAAGCATCATTCATTAACTCATTGCATGCAGTTTCCATTTAATCCCTATTTAAATATATATATATATATATATATATATATATATATATAATCTATCACGTATGATGCAGTATTATTCTGAGTTTAATATAATTGTTTACATTTCACAGGAGCATCCGCGAATTGGATCCGACGGTGCGTTGCGTGGCACTGTATGGTGGGGCAAGCTTTGTCCGGCAGGAGAGAGAGATCTTTCAAGGTGTAGACGTTGTGTGTGCAACTCCAGGGCGTCTCAATGACCACATACAAAGGAGAACCATAGTGAGTAGTTCAGTGTCGCCTAAAGAATGAGTATTGAAGAGATTCATCAATATATATATATATATATATATATGTTGACGAATCTCTTATAATGTATAGTGTTCGCCATTACTGTTGGACCGCTTGGACAATGCCGTTAAATTATAGGCAGGCCCAATAAAATTCTCAGTTTTACCTGAACCTGTGTCCGCTGCTGGTATCGTATTATCGAATATATTTTTGAGTAAATGAGGCAATGTCTGGTGTAATGTTTATCAAATTAACAGTGGTAAATTGCACGACATGGTGGTTGACATATTGTTTTCCCACTAGGCATTGCACAGCACCACTCAATTTGGGCCATTGAAATTTGGTGTGGCTCTGCCCATGTTTAGTTGCTTTGATGAGTAAGATTACCAGGGTAGCTTGGATTCAGAGGGAATCAATAGAACAAATTTGAAGTGACACCTGAATATATATATATATATAAATATATATATATATATATTATATGTATACATATATATCTATATATATATTGTATGTATATGTATATGGGAGTGCGTGCGTGCATGCGTGTGTGTATGTAGGGGTGCTTGATACTATAATATAATTCATATCATGCCGATATTTGCTTAATCACTAAGTGACATCTACCAAGTTGAGTGTCAACGGATTAATGCAAGCCATTACTGCTGTGCCTATACATTTTCAAGAACTCAACCCACCAGAAAATGAGAATGTCACACTGGGAATGCGATTAAGGAACGTGACTGTATAGCTGGCAGCGGGGTCTTCTTTCAGGGCGTCAACGAGCTGCAATTCCTCTGCCTAGATGAAGCAGACGAGTTGCTGACGCCCAACTTCAAAGACCAGATACAAGACTTGCTCGACGATTCTCCACGTGACAAGCAGATGATGCTGTTTAGCGCAACGATGCCGCCTGACATAGTTCACATGACGAAGCGGTGAGTGAGCCTCACACCCAGCAGTATAAGATGTCGCTTCCCTTACGGCGCGGCGGCTTTTCCGTGGCAACGTGCTCTCTCTCATTGATCGGTGGGCACTGTCCATTTAGAGGCAGGCTGGCCGTATTGATTGGTCACTGGTCTTATCCGGTCTGATCCGGTTCAGCGTGACACGTACACTATATGGTGCAATCTCTTTTGTGCGTTGCATCATTTTGCATGCTACATTGCTGCATTTGGTGTGAAGCGTTTGATTGCTTTGCGACGTGCTCATAAATAAACAGAAACTTTACAGATTTTTTAAGTGGGTTTTATTAGGTGTTTTATTTTTATTTTTTAGGTGTTTTTTATTACATTATGCTGCTGTGCTTTCAGGTACATGAGGGAACCGATCCATGTTGATATCACAAAATCACAAAACATCGTATCACCACCTTCAGTGAAACACCAAGTAAGAACTCTTTCATTAGTAATAATGTTGCTGTCACAAATAAATTACAGTGATTATCCTTAGAAGACCCTGAGATTTTGATATTAAAATATCAATACTAAAATAGATCTTTTACACAACAGATGTAAATAAAATGCGATATTACTTGCCTACATATTTTTTAATTCAATAATTTAATTCTTCATTGTCTAAACACTACTGTAGTAATGGGGAATTATATATTGTGCATAATTAATATGATTCTTCGTTCAGTAGCTATATTAAATGATCTTGCAGTGCATCCGAGCACCGCGTAGAGACCATATGCGGATTGTGAGTGATCTGATTACTGAACACTCGCCTACAAGATGCATCATTTTTCTCAAGACCAAGGGTAAGGCTTGAAAGTATAAAGCACCAGCTCTTGTTCAGAACGGTGGCGCATTTTGAGCTTATTGTTATTACGTTCTGTATATGAAGCTGTCAAAAGTTTTGAGGGAGTTGTTGCCACTTTCTTCTCAACTGTATGTGAACCATCATTGAAAAATATCCATGTATTTGAATCTGTACATCATTTATCTGTACAATATTTAGCTGATAGTTCCTGCCATTGTGCATATATGTGGTGCGTATATATTAGTTATAGCGTTATAACTGCGTTTATGGTATAGCATATCACGATATTGATGCTGCTTGATGCGTTGCATGTTTAGTTCAGGCTAGTGACGCAGCAAGGGAGCTGCAGGCGATGGGCGTACGAGCTGAAGCCATCCACTCTGACCTATCACAGAACCATCGCGAGCGCATACTGCTCAGCTTCCGACGTGGACTCTGCAAAATTCTAACTGTAGGTCGCATGCAATGGTCGACAGGATTTAATAGTAATTTACTAATTTCAAAATAATTAATAAATTATGATATTACTTATTAAATGTATATTTATAGAGATGATTCAACTTTTACATGTCTATCCCCAGGAGCCTATTACAATAGAGCTTCACCTGTTATTATAGACTCCTTGTGTGGCCATTGTAAAAAAAAAAACAGCAATGTATGCAGTGGAGTGCGTGCAGCCAATATAAAAATCATTTTGGTTACATACTCATCCATGAAATTCTGGTTTGCATTATTGCCTACAAAGAATATTTTAAGAGTTGCCTAAGAATGTCAATACACTGTTTTCAGATATTGATTGTCTTTACGTGTAATTCACTGTTGAAGCTTGGAAAGTTTTTATTGCTAATATGAAATTAAAGTGCAGAGAAAGAGAGGACACAAATTTTTTTTGTATTTACAGGCAACAGATGTCGCTGCAAGAGGTTTAGATATTCCAGAAGTTGATCTTGTACTTCAAGGTAATTTTTTCTTTATTAAAATTCCCATTTTCACATTCATTTCTTGTTCTTGTTAACTAAAGTTGACAAATACAAGGTAATTATAGGTTGAATATATGAGAGGAGCATAAAGAGAAACCATCTATAAACTTGTTCCATGTGACATGTTTCGGTGGCAGTCTTCTTATTCGTATATGTTTCTTCAAGATCATGCAATGTCATTGCAGTTGAACCACCAGCAAATGGAATCGACTACTACATCCATAGATCAGGCAGGACAGGGCGAGCTGGACGGGATGGACTTGCAGTTCTCATTCACGAAGGCACTTTCAATGATATGAAGATTGTGAGAGATGTAAGTAGGCTTCTTCCACTCAGCATGCCAGCCAGCCGTCAACTTCAATGCAATTATAATACCAATCTCATCAGTTATTTTTTTGGTAAAATGCACTCGTAACCAAATTTTCAGATCGCTCGCTGTGTAAAATTGGAACAAATACGGCCACCGAACTCGGAAGACACCGTTGAGAAGATAGTTGAGTCAACAGTTGAACAGCTTAATTCTGTGCCAGAGGACTTGCTGAAGCACACAAGAGAGGCTGCAGCAAAGGTGTGCCCCTACTGATACAAAGACCTGAATAACTGTGGTCAAAATATATCTATGAAATTGATTTTCTTTATATTATAAATTGCACATCGCGAAGTGCAGATTTCACGTTATTTTACTCTACACCATTTTATAACATTACCTAATGCTATTCTTTTTAGCTTGATCTTAATGGGGAGCAAGGTGAGAAACTGATGGCAGCAGCACTGGCACTCATCCTGAAGAAGTCGCTACCAGCAGGTTTCTTCAACAAGGAGCCTCTGCGACAGATTCCTCCTCACAGTCACTATCGCGTGGACAACAAACAGCACTATCACAACCAGAATAAGTCGCACACATTCAAGAGGCAGAACAGGTTTGAGTACGGCAGGGATGATGGCTTCCGGAATCGGCCACGCAGAACTCGAACTCTGAACGATAATGACGACGATGATGAACTCTACTAGGTGTCTGATGATCAAAATCCTAAGATGCCAAGGAGTTATGGCTGTACAAAATACCATGAATGTTTACTGCATGTAACTTTGACAAAAAATTTACAGGAATGCTAACTGTAGTATTTCCTGATAGCAGTTGAATGCTATAGCTATAAGCAGTAGCCTCCGAGTTGGGAGGCCAGATTATCTTTAGCAGATAATAAAATATAACATTTGAAGAGAAACGGCAGATTGGTCATTTTTGATGTGGATCGATAACATAAATAATCGTTTCTATACATTCTATCAGTATCTCGAGGATCCATATGCAATACGTAGTATTCTAATTGAACTTGTGCTTGTTTGCACACACACAAAAACTTGTCGATAATTTCTTGTGTATAGAGTAAATAAATATAAAAAAATCGAGAATTACGAAGTTTATAATAGTTTGTGTACTCTTTATACAATCATGAACCTGTGTACCATCATTTAAATCATATATCAATATCTATCAAGATATATGTTCATGATAGTGTGGCAGTGGCACTGACTGCATGACACAATAAGTTGGTGCAGAGCAAACTCCATCATAGTTCTCACAAACTCATCAAGTCTATTAAATGTAAAAGTTCAACTCGTATGTGTAACAAGTTACGCAACATTTGTTTTTTTAGAATATTGCATGATCGGACATAAAAAAAAACTGTTCAGACTTCGCATTGCAATGATCACTTTGCTAAAATTAAAAGAGCCTTTCTGTCAAATATGGTGAACGAACGCGACAGGTCTTGTGGTCTGTTTTTGACAAAAATTAGCAATCGGCTATTTTTATAGTGATTGGAATTGTCCACCAGGTGGCGCTGTCACATCATAGTGCAATTGGTATGCGTCATAGAAATAATATCAGGAGTGTATAATAATAGAGTCTACTATTATACACTCCTGATAATATACTTGTTTCACTTATATTGAATCTCTATATATTTCTATGGTATGCGTTCTATTTACTGGCTCCAACAATGATGGCTGGAGGCAATTTTTATCACAACCCATGAATAAGCATGTAAGCTTCATTATTTTGTGCAAAGGCAACAGTCAGTTTCGTAGATTAGCTCCAATCCTATTCACCGAACAAAAATCATTACTCTCAATGTTCCACTTTTCTGCGGATAGACACCACAGGGCCACTATTGGCGAAGCGGTCACCATCACGGTCTGTTTTTTTTATTGAGACTTGTCTTTATAAAACAATACACGTGGGTCAACTTCATTTCAAGGCCGTCACCAATGAAAAATTATGTTGGCCGATGCTTGACGAGTGCATGGGACATGCAGGCAAATGAACAAATATTGGGCTACAGATTGTTCAGTGTAGTCATAAATAAAAACCACGCAATATCGCATTCTCTGTCCCGACACGTTATATATTGTTTATAATTTGGAATTTATATTATATTCATTGCATTACCTCTTTATATTTATCTTAATTTATTCAACTTTATATGGGAAATGTGTGACATGCAGAGGTTCCCTACGATTTTGCAGGTCACAAACCGATTCATTGTTAATCAATGCAAGAAAATTGTTTTGCGTTTAGCTTGTAGTAGTGTACTATTCACGCTATACCTTGTTGTGAAATTTGAAACACGGAGGTGCCGCGGGTAAAGCATACAAGCTGTGTATGTTTTGGGGGGCTTGCGAATTATTTTAATGCTATGGAGTATAGCTGGTTATCATATATTACAATTGTAGCATATTGACGTTGACACTAAAATTTAGCTTTTGCATACACCATAAGCACGAAAAACGGAGTTCTGTAGTGAGCCGCTTATAGCAGCTCCTCAGCGGAGGGATGGGCTTACTGGCTATTTTTCTCAGCAGGGGCCCCGGAGCAGCCGAGCCCCTCACTTTACCCACAACCAGTAGTCAATTATTTGGCAGAACTGTTATGACAAGATATCTTAACTGTTTGTTCGTTAATTGTAGTGGGAGCATTATTATCGTCTTGGTAGAACAAGGGCGTATGTGGTTAACCCATTTTGCCCGGGGGCAAGCCCACGTGCTTCACGGTGGTGGCTTGTTTTGGGAAGGACCGGACCACCATTGACTATGTATTGTTTCCACTTTTTTGGGAGCAACTGAACCCTTGCCCCCCCCCCCGCTAGCTACGGCCCTGTAGAAGTAAAACCATAATAATTATAATAATTATACCTAATATAAAACAATATGAATATTATAAATACAAATAAATTGTTATAATTCATTTAAATATTTTACAAGAATGATAATATATAACGTGTACGCTACATGGCTATAAAAAAGACTGTAAATTGTTTAGTATTTGTCAGTTAAAATAAATAGTTTTGCTTCAGTGTCAACGTGCGAGTCTAATGCTCATTAGTCTGACGTGCGATAGTTATATGATATCAAATGGGCAATTAATATATTTTTGTTACATCAGCTTAAAACGTACTCTGCGTATGTCTTGTGCGGTAGTCGGCAACGCCTAAAATCTACGCATAGTCCGGGTGTATTCACAATTTAACATTGCAACTATCAAATTCAAAGATAGAACCAGTCTCTAGTTTAATTAAAATGTATTTTACTCGATGTTAATATGTTGTGATTCTGTGTGAAGTTGTTACACTATACAAAAACTATTTGAATGTGATAATCTGTTGCGGTATATATAAGTAGAAATGATGTCATATGCTATAAGTATCTAAAGAATATATAAGATACGTACAATTTTTGTGCTCATATATGTGAACTGCTATATAAGCTTGAATTATACTCTAATTTTATATATGCTATGAAATAACGGTTACGGGATGAATCACGCGCCAATTACGTACTGTAGCTTACATTAATATTATACGGCGATCATATTAAAGAGGCTTGATTGAACAACGTCCCTTCTCACATACGTTTGCCAATCGACATGCGCCTTTGTTCAATATTCATGTTCGTGAGAGGTCGAGTGTGAACATTGTTGTCAAGTGTAAACCAACTATTACCAAATGAATGACATTGGGCAGGCATGCGTATAGACTGGGCGCGGGTTATGCATGAAAAATTCATTGATTGGCGCTATCACTGGATGGTAGGCTAAGCAATAATATTACTTTTATCACGATGACCACGACGACCACGATGGCGGCGATTATGATGATGATGATCATGATCATGCTGGTAATAATAATAATAACAACAACAACATCAGAGCAACAAAAATATTATTATTATTATCAGTATTAGTATTATAGTATAATAATATATAGTATATAGTATTAGTAATATTATGATATGACTAACTGACCTACTATATGACATAATTTAATAATTTAATATGTAATTATCATCTTAGAACCATTTGCGCCTATTAATTATTAGTCTCTGAATAGATGCGTGACACTGGCATGTTTCGTCTACGGAATTCTAACCATTATCAACACCTAGGATAGCGATACTATCTATGCATACTTATTTTTGTTTCACTAAAAATTCCCGCTACTATCACTACTATAATTGCGATAAAATGGCGCTGACATTAAGTTTTCGAGCGACCTGTTTGTGGTATAATCGTCTTTTGTGGCGGCAATCGCACGTGGTGTGTAGGTAGGCACGTGAACATGCTGCCGTGTACTGTCGTATAACAGACGTTCTGCGGCCCAGCGAAAAACGCGCCTTTTGTGCTATTATTGCGACAATGCGTGAGCTACGCGTGAGTTTGTATACATACGCTGAAAAATAGTTGCTTGCTCGCCTGCGGTTTGCCACCGGTAAGCCCATAACAAAATCTCACTAGCTTTTCATCTTGTTGTTACTGTGTTTGGTTATTGTTGTTGTAACACTTGCGCGTCTCTTGAAAGTGTGCGTGTGTTTATTGCCTATATGAATGCCCTTGTATTGTGCGTGCGCATGTATGTGTGTATGTATGCGTGTATGTGTGCGCGCGCGTATGTGTGCGCGCGCGTATGTGTGTGTGCGTGCCTCTTTGTTTGCGCGCAAGCGTACGTGCGTGCATGCGTGCGTGCGTGTATACGAGCCCTTATTGCATATAAGACATTCGAGCATGTAATCTACATTTATTCTATGTTTAGATGAGAGCTCACGTAAGATGTATATTGAGCGCTCCCACCTAATTCGTTAGGCTATGAAATATAATATTATGCGGACACACTGATTGTGCCTGCTTGCGCCAGCCGGTTGTGCTGAGAACCTTTGCTGAATATAGCCCCTGATGCCTTAACCCCATACGCTGCCTTTCCGAGTGTTGTTTGGCTCTAATATTTTATCTGGTGAAATCCGCATACATAAAAACTAGACGATTTGTCTGTCCTTGCGGTATCGTGGAATTATTTGTTGCGAATAAACTTGTAAAATTGGCGTCAGGATAAACTAAATGAAGTCTAAGAATGTAAGACTATTTCATTTCACAATGGCGCCTTGCGAAATATGTTTATTGAAAAGCTATAAAAAGAAAGAAATACTTCGCAAGAAACGTTAGTATACGTGGAAACGCATCAGAGATTTCGTGAATTGATACCTGTTTGGGCGTCAGTGTACATCGATTTCTCTTACAAGACAATAGTATGCGTCCAAAAATATGATTGCTGAATGGTGCTATTGACTGACAATCTTAGTGTTCCCCCACCCACCATTCATCCGTTCTCATCCCCCCTAGTTACTGTTAAATATGATAGTCAAATAAATTAGGAACAAGGCGATAACCACGCGATGGTGGCAGCACAGAGAGCAACAGACTGAAATGTTACATATATCCCAATACAGCGCGTCCGGGAAACTTACGGCACACACGACGAATGATATAGTAGCTAAACATTAGCTCCACCTTAACACCGATTTCACTTACCGATAATATTTATTTTTTCTTTGGCTGTGCTGGCAAAATAATATTCACCCATGCCGATTTTATAGCTGCATGGGTTAAACGTTGTCGTGTTTAGTTAGATCAAACATTAATGTAATATTTTTTAATATTAATATAATATAAATTTTTATAAATTTTTTATAATTCAAACGATTTCCAAAGCAGCCACGAGAATTGTACAGCTTACCATTTACAGTGTAAAGTGCATATTAGTAATGCTCTCTAATGGTCTATAATACGTTGTGTAATATAGTAAGAACAGCAGGCTATGCCCAGTAATGCAAGACAAAATTATACGTGCTGCATGCGGGAAGTAAAATCTATAATCTCCATGCTGTGGCGGGGGAAAACACGCGAGAGCGACCAATAAACATGAGGCGTGTGCACCTGGTGAACACGGTAATTAATAACAGTAAAAAAGGTATATTCAGTCAAATTCTCTATACGTTCCCCGAAGCACGCATGCACAGTTTCATTTCTAATGTCTATTATCGCGCACTCCATTAACAGAGAGGGGTCGAGTGATGGAAATATG